AGACAGAAGAGAGGAGACAGACAGAAGAGAGGAGACAGACAGAAGAGAGAGAGAATCAGTGACAGAAATAACAGAAAAGGGTAATAAGACAGATAATACAGAAAAGAACAAGTGAAAAACAACAAATGGAAGAGGAAAAATAACAAAAAAATAGTTGATAATGGGAAAAGAGGAAAGAGACACTGTATTGTGATACAGCAGATACAGAAAACCATAGACAGAAAATTGTAAATGACAGAATTAAAGGTTTAACCTCCTTATCCTTAATGGAGCAAGCACAGATCCCCCTAAATATATATCTTTTTTTGTTTAATTTACCCACCCATAAAGGATATGTTGAATAATGAGAACTATCTTACCAGTATCTTCATGCTTTAAATATCATGGCAGGAGTTGCCACACAACCTGAACAACTGATTGTTTAACTCATAATTTAGTACTGAAGGGCATCATTAGCCACTTCTCACTGAAGTGTCTCTCAAACAACTTACCAACTTACCCAGGGTATGGATACCCTTCCCTCAAACCCTCTAGACTGACACTGAACACAGTATACGACCCAGTCATTAACTACACTACATTGTCAAAATTATCAAGAGAAAATTTTTGACTTGTGTGCATTACTAACATCAAAATATAACTTAAACATCAGTATATAGAGAAATGCCCATGAAATCTTTACTTAAGAAATCTCAAGAACGAAACATCGGATAACAAACTTCTATTAAAAAAACCTACTAAACAACAACCTACCAGGAAACTTAAGTGGAAAAGTCTAAAACACGAGTATTGATTTCCTCAGTGTCTTCATTACAGCTCTCTTTACCATAAAGAACTTGCCTCGTGTTCCAAAATAAACACTGCATCCTCCCCACCCACCATAACCAGTTCCTTCTCTACAAACCCAGGAGCACCATACTATATAATCAGGCTTTTCTTCAAATTTCCTCAAGCTCTCAAAGCAAATTCCAAGAAATTAAGAGCTTTCATCAGTATTTATAGCTTTTGAATTTTAGTAGTAATATCCTAAATGAAGGCTGAAGTGACAAAAAATGTGGGCGTAACTTTGATAATTTGCACTCCTTGATTGGCTTTCATTAATGACTATCAGAATTACTTCCAGCATCAGCTGATAAATAATTGTTTTTAAGTTCTATTAGAGTCAGTCACTTTCACTTCTCCCCTCTATGAGTGACTGGAAAGTGATGTGCAAGTCAGTAAGGGTGAATGAATATGCCACGAGCCCTAAAAAGCCACTCAGTACTGATTTAGAAAGTAGCCTTTCATCAAGGCAGGTTAAAGCCTTGGAAACAATATGGGACAATCTGCCTGCTCCTGTGTTGGGCTTACCACACATACAAACCTAGAGCCGTGAGCGCTCATAGGTCGCGTGAGCATACAAGCCAGCACGGAAGATCGGCTGTACAGGGTGAACGAAACAAAATGCATTAGTGTGGGACCTTAAAACAGTAAAGACAACATAACATTATGAAAGAACACAATTGTAGAGCTGAAATCAGTTGATACAATATCAACAGAACTACAACTGTCTTCTCTCTCATCATGAAGATATTTGACTCGAGGGTTAGTTGCTGAGGTAGGCCTTCAACTCTGATGTGCATCAGTTCATAACATACAATCTACTAACAGACACACCAGAGACACATCTACATAAAAGAAACCACCCTCAGCAATAACCTTCAGTCTTTCAATGATTACTATTAAAAATACAAGTAAAAACATATTAATAGGACATAGTAAATTGATGAGGCAAGAATATTGCCTTTCCCAACCAGAAAAGTCTAGAATTAAAATGTGTAACATCTCAGTTCTAGAATGTGTACTAATGAAGTATTCACCATATCCCAAGAAGCAAGAACACCTTTGATCACAATCTATGGATCATGTAAGTGTCACCAACATAACTATGCAACTGTATAAAAATTTGACTCCAACATGTTGAACTGATAAGTTCCCAACTGCAAAAACTCTACAGGTGTGGAGGCAACTGGTAACTTACATAAGCAATTAACAATGAACAAGAATGAACAAGAACATAAATAAAGGAATGGCTGAAACAGCGACACAAATACCATGGCTTCAACCTAGATATATATATAACATACATTCACATTCATGACCCGTATCAACCCAAAAGAGGAAGCACCAAGAAATCCATTTCACTTATCCAGTCAGAATCAAGCAACATTCCAAATGCTTTTCTTCCTTTTTCCTTTAGTCAAGCAAACTCCTCCACCAACACTTGCAACATTCCCTGAACACGTTTCATTCTCTCTCAGACAAAGTGCTCATGCTGAATTTTCATAATTTTTCTACTTAAGTCATTTCCTTTTTAAAAATCTTGTTCATTGTTAAGAATGATAATCATAAACAGGACATCAATAAACAGGTACACATTCCATACACCCAGCATTAGTAGGCTACCAAAAAAAGACCTATTCCTACTATTAAAAAAAATACTTTCAATTACTGAAACCATCTATTTATAACAAAGATGATGATAACACCAATAAATGAATTTACAGTGAACTTCATGAAGTGCAGATATGTAACTGCCACAATTCAATCATCATAAATGCCACAGATGGCAAAATTAAATTATTAATAATATTTCTTGAATCTAATAAAGTATTTTCCTGAAGCCCTCTTCATTTTCATAAATAGTAAAATCAGATCCACATTAGAAACTATGAAACAGTTATATTTCCATATATAATGGCCTTCAAAAGAAAATATTGGCCAATATCAAAATGAAGATATGATTTTGAAGTTTTGTAATTTTTTATCCTTTCTTTACTTTCTGCACATGCGGTCAGGGCAAAAAGGGGTTAAAGAATATATAAATTATAATATATTTTATATAAACAAAACTAATATAAATTCTGAACCTAGGCCAATGGGTGCTTATTTTATTTTGGTTTTGGCTAAATCAAGATCCTACTCAAAAAGTTATTGAGTGATTAAAACTGATTAACTAAAAATAAATGAATAAATAAATGTGAGAACCATGTTTGCATATGTATAATGTGTTGTTTCATGTGCAGTGTGGGGTTTGTTGGGTACTCACAGTGCATATCTCGCTCGTGTTCATACTCAATAAAGGCGTATCCTCGAGGCTTCCCCGTCTTAAAATTGTGAATCAACACAATCTGAAAGAAACCGAACTGTCAGTATAATATACTTGGGATTAATACTTCTACTGAGTGTTAAATCTTATATTCAGTATTCACACTTTTCAACTACAGAGAAAAAAAAAAAATCTAAAGTATGAGTGCAATAATGAATCTTTGAACATATGAGTGAAACTCCACATAAATATTGTCACTTGTTACATCTCCATTTAGCACATTTAAGATGATATAAAAGGGGTTTCCTTACTTTCTTGTTTCTTATACTTCTTGTATATGTAACTTTGTAGAAAAATGTGAAGAAAATTCTGTACCCACTGTACCCATCTTGTACACATGCCTCACAAAAAAGGCAGTACCATTCTGTATACATGACAGCTTTGGAACTGCTACTTTGCAAGTAACAGTTCACATGAACTTAAGATCCCATATTCTTCTGTGAAAATCATATGACATTTACTGGTCAAGTATTCTTTAATCAAGACTAATGAAGGTGGTATTTTTAATACTTAAGACAGTGCTTTGAAAAATTCTCAGATATGCACCTGATTCATTTTAACCCAATGCCACAAGGGAAAATGAACAAAAAATAGGGAAAATGCTGTGCTCATTTTCTATATCTTTTGTGAAACGTATATGGTTCTGCTAGTGCTTAGCCACAAAGGAGTCAATTAGTAGACCTTGTGATCTTTCCCGATTTGAATTGCCAGGAAAAACTTATTTTTTACTAGTGCTATGAGTATCAATGGTGTTATTTTTATTATAAACATTATAATTATTATAATGTTTTAAACATTAGTAACAGCAAAATAAGATAACAAAATATTTTTGTAAATCAAAGAAAAGTATAAACGGGCGAGACTGGCAGTACTCATTACTGGCTCATTGGTGACTCAGTACAAGTATAGCCATCTACGTGTAAAAACAATCAAACAAGTAACTCACAGTGGGCACAGCACGTACATACACATCATGCCCGTTGGCATTGGGTTAAGTGTAACTTCTATAATATTTCTTGTTCAAGAATACTTGAGCCCCTTGTGTTTTCTAATGGCCTGTTTACACATAGGGTGAAACTGTCTATGGACAGTTACAAGTTCATGTGACTGTTTAAACAAGTTTAAATAATTCTATTCAAAATATGTTGTAAAAAGGACTTGTAATATTCATTTCAAATTTTATAAATAAGGTCAATGAAGTATATGAAACTTCATGAAGTCAATGGACTGAACAGTTTGGGAACACCTGAATCACATATAGCAGTGACTTTGAAAACAAATTTTCTGAATAGGATTCTGAATAGGAAGGCGCATGATTTTAACAACTGTACATAGAAACCCCAATAGTTACATAGACTTAGGCCACGGCAAATAATCACAGATGATGGATGACATTTTATCATGACATAAGTGGAGAGAGATATCACTCGCTACCACAACTGCCCAACTGAAGCTGCGTGCACGTATGAATATCTATCCTTGTCTATTTTTTAACAAATTTAGTCTTTCACTATTAGGTAAAGAGTCAGTAAATTCTACTTCAGCCTATGTTTGCTTGAAGCTAGTATGGCCAAAAGTATAATGGTTACAATATTACAGAACTTCTCACTTCAGTTTGCTAACAGCTTGTTGCCAATATGAATGTGCCTTTAGTCTGGGAAGGTTGTTGTCAAAAAATACCATTCTACTGTAATCCTTAGAGCTGTGCAATTATCATTATTACTGAATATTCTAATATTAGCATGATGAAAAACAAAATTTGTTATGGATTTTTAAAATGATGTCATAGTAATGGGATTGAAGAATTATTGAAGTCCATCAGAACACTTTACAAAATCATAGTTAACCCCTTGGTGCCGGGTGACGCCGGTCGGCGTGAAAACAAACCGCTCGAAAGCTGGCATGCAGCCGTACGCGGCGGCGGCGCGCCAGTGATTCGGGCTGATGTCCCCTACTCACGCACTCAAAGTTGGCGCGCCGCCTTTGTTTGCAAGAGCATAGAGTTTTTTTGTTTTTTTTTTGTACACCCGGAGTCATTGGGTTAAGATATAATTAATACAAGTTTTCAATGGAAGCTTTATGAGACATTATCAATATCTGATAGGAAAGACACAAGGAGACTTAATACCAGTTACAGAACTTGTTTTAAACTTCAGTAAAAAAAGAAAAAAAAGAAAAAAAAGAAAAAAAGAAATAAGCAAGTTAAAAATTTACTTAAACTTACCTTTTTAATAGGACCATAAATTTCAAATTCTCTGCGTAGCTTGGACTCAGATGTGTCATAGTTGATCCGTGAAACAAATAGTGACTTGTATGGGTCACTGGTTGCATTTTCATTGTTGTGAGGATCCCAAAGAGCTATTTCTTGTTCCAATTTGTATTGCATCTGCTCAGCCTTCTCTCTCCGCTTCCGCTCCAAGCGTTCCTCACGAGTTTCCACCCTTGTTGGAGGGGGAGTATCCTTAGGATCCTAAAAAGAGATTTCTTAGTAAAATTTTGGGTCCTAGTGGCAGAAACATATCCGCAGAGCTGCCATTCATACAATTAACTTGCAATAGAATTACAAGAATGTTACTTCCATGATCTAAGAAGACGTAAACAATGACACAGTAATACACTCTCCTTACATACCTCAAACCTTTGTATCAATTGTGCCACACCAGAGTACCCATCCGTCTTCTTTTCCCATGTTAACTTATCAACTGGTGCTAGATATGGTATTGGATCTCTTGGCGCAAAAAGTGCCAATAAGTTTGGCGGAAGGTATTGCGTCATCTTGGTGTTCTGAAAAGAAAAAAATAAATAATCTAAAACATTTATTATCTTCAAATGACTCTGAACGGGTAAGTATATGAGTGCATATTCTACATGCCATTGTTCTGCCAAATACAGGCCAGATTCTTGTCATAGTGAACTGAGTACTACATCTAATTCATATACATCAGTCAATTAATTTGTTTAAACTCTGACTATGATACCCTGAAAGAAAGAAAGAAAAAGAAAAAAGAGAAAAAATTAAAAAGAAAAGAATAGAAAAGGAAAAAGAAAAGAAGAGACAAAAGAAAAGGGACATCAGAATGTGCAATGAATACAGGGTCCAATATCTATAATGGGGAGAACAGAATTCAGTTTCATTTGAAATCCTTCTAGACCAATGACCCTTACAATTTCTGTTAAGAAGTCTCATAGGAACAATCCAGGATCTAATGCAATGACAGGATCGGGGAAAGGAAAACTACAGATTACCACCAAGATTTACTCAAGATGGGTAAATCATAAGATAAATGTGGATAATATATAATGTAAAGTGCAAAGCATTTTTCAGCTTAAATCTATCAAAACTAAATATATATATATATATATATATATATATATATATATATATATATATATATATATATATATATATACATATATAATTTTCATAAACTACTAGCGATAGTAGAATTTTTTTTTTTTTCTGTATTCTCAGTTTGGTTTCACTTTACTATTTTTAGCTTTGGACTGTCAATTAGAGGGACTGCAAAGAAGTGCAACTTCCCTGAATCAGGTATAAACGCTCAGGGTATCATGGAATGAACTCAAAACCTAGACCAAAAACTATCTGATGTGGAAGAAAAAGTTCTTCTGAATTTTGTTACAAGCTTAGTAAAGCAGGCACAGCTTGTTACAAAAGCAAATGTTACAAAAGCAAAAAATAAAAATGGTGGTCCTGAGCTGACATTCCACACACCAGAATCATGAACATCAGCAAGAAAGAACATCAATGAAAGTGATTAAACAGTACTTTCACTCTATTCTCAACTGCTCAGAAGGATCCCACTTAAAATTTCAACATTGAGGAAACTGGATTTTGTCTATTATATAATCATCAGATTCAGTCTCTTCAGACAAGAATAAATCTGATATAAACATTTGTCACAATCAAAACATCAACCTGAACTAATTGACATATCAGAGTAATAAGTTATGTGGTCAGTGTACTATTTGTTCTTGCAATGTACACAAGATGAACAACTTAGAAAAAAATGTCTGATCTCTCCTCTTATGCAGAGTACCATAGAAGAACTTAGGGTTAATTTTCTGACTATGACAATTGGGTCTTCCCTGACAATGTTTATATCATCAGATTTGTTCCCGAAGATCATTTCTGCCTCATTCTCCAGCCAACAATCTTGATGCAATTTGTTAAGTCCCAATAGCAGGGGAGGGCAGGAAGATTAGGGAAATTACGGGGTAAAACAGGTTGAAATAAGAAGAATAGAGAACAGAAATGTGTAAAACAAGCACAAAAAAAGCTTCAAATTGGTTAATGAAACTCTACAGGCAACCATCACCCTCTTTGGGTAGGGTCTGAGAGCAAGGCCCACATGTTAGGAAGGTTTTTGGTTCATACAGGGTTATTTATGGAATTCCAGGGGATGACGAGTAATAGAAACTTAATCTCAGAGGGGTGCAGTCACTTTGTAAACATTATCAATACTTTCATTTTTATTATTTGCGACAGAAAATAACAAAAGATTCGGAAAATTTTCCGCGCATGTCAACCAATCGTACAGTAAAATAAGTGTATGGAATGGATACCTTGACGAAAACTAAGACACTTTTCATCTATGGCAAAAACTGCGCAAATCTAAAATAAGGGAGATATAGGACAGACAAGAGAGAAGCTCGACCCTTCATTTTCTAAGTCCCCTTCCATGTTTACCTTGCGAGATCAAAACAATTGTGACGCGTAACTCATTACTGCGATCCAGCAAGTAGTCCATGTATTGCTACGCGCTTGTGAGAACGCTTATTTTGTTATTACTAGCGTCTGATTCTCTGAATTCATGTATGTAATGCATTCTTCTAGTTTTATTATACTTCTCTTGCGTCTTTTGGTAATTTTTTACGTTATTCTGTACAATAACCTTTTGCGCATGCGCGTTTTCACCGGGAGATTTGACAGGTCGACCCACCGCCATTCGCTCAGAAACACCGGTAAAAAATGTTTCATTTCAAGTGCTGTGTCGACATCGGGTTATTTTTAAAACTATATTGTGGATATACAGGACAAAGAGACATTATTCTCAATCACAAGCCTGATATTTGAGCCCAACAAGTGCCCCAAATGCCGAAAAAAGTGATTAGAAACCAAGCAATTCTGACCATGGACGGAAGCGCACAATAGTTCGGTTTTTCGTTTTATAAAGGTATGTGGTATATTACTACGGGGGTCCAGGGGGCGTAGCCCCCTGGCTAGGCGCATTTAATACCATGGGGGTCCAGGGGGCAGAGCCCCCTGGCTAGGGAATGTATAGATCGTAGTGTATAAATCCCACAGGGTTAGGTTAGGCTAGGCTAGGCTAGGTTAGGTTAGGTTAGGTTGGTTTGTTGGTTAGGACGCATTGTACGATTATCACAGGGGATCTGGATTATGTGAAATCCCGTAGATTTTTACCGAACGGTGGGTTTGGTTCCCGTAGAGTTTTTCGAAATTTGGCGCGTCGGTCCGTAGACTTTGAAAGATGGCGGCGATGTCCGTACAGTTTCATTATCCGATTTTAAGCGTTTTTTGTGCTTGTTTTACACATTTCTGCTCTCTATTTTGCTTATTTCAGCCTGTTTTACCCCGTAATTTCCCTGATCTACTTCATGCCCTCCCCTGCTATCGGGACTTAGGAAAACACATCAAGATTGTCGGCTGGAGAATCCGACGGAGAATATCATCAGATTCGTTCTCATCACACGAGAACAAATCTGATGATATAAACATTGTCAGGGAAGACCCAGTTGTCATTTTTGGAAAATTAACCAAAGATTCATGCATATCACAGAATTGATAACTGAAAGAAGGAATAAAAATTGCAAGATTGGTTAGCTGTGTGAAACTAAAAATATACTGGTTTTATGACCGATCCCCACCACTATCTCCCTGAGCTTTAGCTTCAGTCCTACAATTTCTCTGGTAGTTATAATCAAGGTATTTGTTACCAAAAGCGACATACCCTCCAGAGATGAAGTCCCAAATCCAGGGTAACGTGCTAACCCAAAATCCAAACCCAACTTTTCCTAACTTCTATTTACTCCCTAGACAGGGGGGGGGGGGCCTTCCTGTACCCCCCTTTATTAACACTTCATGTGATCTTAGAAAAAAAAACGTAACATTAAGAATTGTGCCTGTAAGGGTGTTGTGGACTTCATGCCTGAGTGGTGACACGCAGAGGGTATCTTTATAATTTTCTGATAAATATGAGGCCGCTGTAGGTTTACCTGTATTGCTTCCTACTCTATTTCTTATACTCTATAAGATGCCAGTGTCCATTTCCCTCTATCTCCATCACTCTTAGTAACATTGAGCATAATCAAAACTATGCTTCTTCTGTGATGGGAATGAATGCTGGACTTATTTGCATGCCTTCCTTAAATCTCATAATACATACATTACTATGAAGACTAATGTCTGAACAATGAAATGTTAAGGGACCATAAAAGCAACCTCAGCATTACACAAATGAAATCTACACTTCTTAACAGCCATATGAATACGAAGAATTTTAACAACCGAGAACCTGTAGCCAATTACATGTATTACCGCCTCGAAGGACCAATGACTTTGTTTTCTTATTAATGATGAAAATTAACACAATTCTGCTTAAAGAGTTTTGTTTCTGCTTAGCCCACTAGCTTAATACAAGGCCACGAACTAGTAACCCTACATAAACAACAGACAAACGTACTTCAGCCAAAACCACAACAAACAGAAAGGCATTTATCCCGTCCAGTCGCCTTCGCCTTCAAAGCCACGCCGAATAACAAGCTTTCTTGTTATCGCATGTCCTTTGAGTGATTGATGAATTTCTGATACTT